TAGTTTACTCTCTGGAGTACTGGGGGAAATTCCCCCTTCACGACTGTTAAAAGGCTTTGCATGTTCCACTCTCCCCCCTGGAGGATGGTGAAGAACATAAAGTGTAATAAGTTCCCACTCATTACACATTCGCGGCAGCAAAACGATTGCACTCCGGCCCGCCCACTTGAATTAAATGGTATTCATTGCACTTGCTCATTAGAAAATATTTGCACATATAATTACTTGCGCTTTCCCGTCGTCGCCAGACGACAGCAGCTGACATCCATTGGATATATCTCCCGGCGAAATCACGGGCATTATGCAAGCTCACAGCATTTGCTGTGCTCTGAGGCACTCACGCGATGTCGGGCTCAACGCATCGCAGATTGCATTTCAAAGGCATTTTAATTGCACGTGAGTGAAAGGCCGCGGAGCGGTTTAGATGGGGGGCAAATCCGAGAATGTCAAGGTGTTGGGAAAGTTCTATGATGCAATTCGAGAGAAAGTCGCAAATAATGGCACACACTCACAGGCCCTCGCCCCGTTCATTCACCTGGAACTTTGCTTTCCGCTGAACGCCTCAATTCACTTTGAATTGAACAGCAGCTGGCAGGCTTTGTGGCTACATTTTGAATCGGAACACTGAGAGAAGTTTATAAGTGAGAAGTTTTGTATAAACAAATTCAAATTTCCCTTTGAAATCTGAACATTTTTCCCCTGTGCAGGCCCAAAACTTTTTGCAATTTATTTGCTCTGTCGATTATGGCACAGACTGCCTGCGAATAAGATAAATGGAATTGTCAAAATTATTGTGATTGCCTCATTGTGTCGTTTGCTGTCAGTACTCTACCATGTTCAACTCCCTAAAAAGTGCACAGAAAAAATGCTGTCATTAATTAAGAATTTCGATTCTGTTAAATTTATTCATGCTAAATTGAAAACAGAGGGCAATTTCCGGTTATTTCTTAATACTCCTGCATACAGTTTAAAATTCCAAAGGAAATAGTTTAATTTCCAGCTGAATTGTGCAACAATTTCAAGCGAAAAAGTGACTGTGTCAATATATCTTGGGAATTTATAGTTACTTGTTATATTCTCAACTGTTTGAGTTATTGATTTTGTTTGAGTAAAAAGTTTGATAAGCTGTAGTCAAATATTGACGGACTTCAAGAGTTGAGAATAGATTATACTATACTTAAAAAAGAGTTACAAATTCAGCAAAACAAATAAAGTAGCTACGTCTTAAGTTAAAGCTTTGTCTCAATTAAAAAAGCAATACATTTCAAACTAGTTAACAGGTGTGAAAGGCAGTGACCTATAAATAATGACAATCAATCACGCCCCTTTTAGAAATTATGATCACTAAGAGAGTTATTAATTATTATAATTTATAAGCTATAATTTAAAATGCCCTGAATACTTAGAATGTAATATATTAATACATCCTAAAGTCTTTTTTTTAATAAACCTTAGCTCTTAAAGCCACTCCATTGTGCATTCGAACTGCATATAAGTTCTCTGCACTCTGAACATGGCATTCGAGTTTGAAATACTTCCCAAAAAACCCGGCAGACATCGAGTGGGCCCAAATTGGAGGATAGGACGTGGCAACAGTGGCCAAGCAATTTGTGTCGTTTTTGCCTTTTCATTTGGCACACGGCCAGTGCATTCGGCCAAAATGCAATCGAGTGCATGCCCGTCTGCCGGCCAGAGTTTACCACCCCACCCTTCGCACAAATATAAATTACATTCCATTAAAAAATCATGCCGCGGCGCACAAATCAACATCAACTCAATGAACATAAATTGCCAAGAAGAGCTGAGCTGGAGGAGGGCTGAGCAGGGGAAGGGAGCCGGAATGGAAGCGGAAACACTAGGCGGAGAGATGGACAATGGAAGGGTGGCGGCAGGGAAGGCACAAACGGATCGATCGACCTTCACATTGGCCGCCATGGCGACGGCAACGACAACGCACATGGCCCAAATGCACACGGGCCAAAAATACAGAAAAAAAAGAGGCTCCGAGCAATGACAGGACTTTGCACTGACCAACCAGGTGTACTTTTCAGTGGGTTTAATCTATATAAATTGTGATTAATTTGTCTGTGATTTAATAATAGCTAAAGGCGAGACTATGGGATAAGTAATAAATATATCTACAAATTAAATAAGAATTGAGCAATGCTACAAATTTTACGTAACAATTTCACTTTAAAGTACCTCCAATATTTGGTATTCTTAGTTTCTATTTAATATTCTGAACCTTTTCTGATTTTTCTTAAACCCAAAAGATAATAAAAATCCCTGTTTTATGGGCTCCTGCTCCACAGTGCGACACAATCTAATGCATTTGGGAGTAGCCGCCGGGTGTCCCCTGGTCTGCCTTCGAGGATTCCTTTGTCGACCAAGGACCGGTGGAAGCCCATCTCGGTGAGAAGCTATTTTTGCTGCGTTGGCGTTGGTGTCACGCATTTGGATTTGTTATTGGGCCCCCGAGTGATGTTTGCAGCTAATTAGAAACTGCTGGCTCACACACACACACACACACACACGGAGCCACACACAGAGTTGGGAAAAGCAATCTGCAATTACAGTTGGCAAGGAAGTCTCGGGACGTGTGCGAAGTGACTGTCAATCGATTTGGCTCTTGGCTTTCAGGCTGGCCATGTAATTAATGGAGCGTGGCTTAAATTATGCAAAGCTCAATCAAGTGCAGTTGGGACTATACACTATGATTCTGCAAGAGGGTCCTGCCACCTTCCAGGACCAACTCAATGCAGCACGGCTCACGGCGTGTCAATTTCCGCCCGAACACGTTGATGGCGCAACGTTTCCCTGCCACTTCCTCCATGGCGCCACATGACGTGCCGTTGATATTTATGTCATCGCCATTCTCGTCTCAGTTCTCGGAGCTCCATTCTCAGGACTCGGTGGCTCCTTTGAGCGTAATCAGCAACGTGCCAGGACAGGACGAAATCACAATTGCACCGCAGGAAGCCGAAGGATACAATGAATGTGTAATGCACTGAGAAACGAAGATGAATTGCTGGTCAGATAGGGGAACGTGATGAAGGCAAGTGTTATTATGATAAAAGTTTACAAATTCGAATTTAATATTTATGGAGTGAAAGCTATTCTTTTTTATCACCCTAAATCTTTGAAATATCTTTAATTTTTGGATACATTATTGGATTTCCTCAGTGTGTGATATACAGAGTTTAGGCGTCGGAAGGGTGAACCTTGTTTAGAAACGTTGCAGGTCGAGATCCTGCCGGCAACGTGATGATGTTTACATGCTATGCAAATACAATTAATTCCACTTTTGTGGACAATCTTTGTGCCAGCAGCAGGTCGGTGGAGGGGTCGAGTGACATAGGAAATGTTGACACTGCCACGGGGCTGTGTGGATCAGGATGCCAAATGCCAGGCACCCTTTGTTGTTAGGTTTCCTTCCAGCATTTCCCTCCTCTGTGGTTCTTGGCCCCTTCGGAGACGCCACAGTTTGAGTGCAACTGTGCGAATATTTGTTATGAGAATCGTTGAGAGAATTTCCTTATTGCCTCCCATGACGCAATGGTGTAAACAATTCGTTCATCCCCAAGTGCTGTAAATCAGCAGATTTCATTCTCTCCCAAAAACAAAGGCAATTAAATTGAATGTAATCGAACCTTTTGCTTATACACAGGGGAAAATAAGGTAAGAAATGAGTTAAAACATATTCTTAATCTACTTAAGCAATGTCAGTCTTTAGTAGAATTTTTAAAAAGTATTAGCAAAGGGTTTGTAGAATAGCAGCTGTTTGTTTACCAAAATAGCAATAAGTTAAGCATTCGTAGGTCAGTAATATTTATAAATACTGTTGAGTAAATGTTGATTAATTAAAATATCAACTTAAAGGGAAAGATAAATATAATTTTCCCTTGTTCATTCCAATTCCCCTTTCCTAAAAATTCAGAGAACTCAGTGTCATCTCATTGGCTAGTCTGGCTGTCTGGGACGTTGCGCATTTGATTTGGATACGATTAAGCGAACTTTGCACTCGGCGAATAAAACAAACTCGATGGGAAAGGGATCATGGTGCAGATTACGTCGACCATTGCACGCCGTGTTTATATTTGCATTTGCAGCGTAGGAAATTGTAAATTGAAATTACGCGACATGAACTGAAAATGGGATTTCAATTGGGTTGGGGTAGGAGTTCTGTCATTGACCTAAAAGTTTTTGAGGACTTTAACTTGTGATGAGGACTTAAATTTTAAAGATATAAGTATTATTTCTAATACGGAAACTGCTAATTAATACATGGATTTGAGTTTATAATTTTGGAAACACTTTGTTAATGCAATTTAAAATAATTAAATACATATTACGTATACGTAATAAATATTAATAATATTATTATAATAATAATTATACGTATACGTAATAAATATTACGAATACGTAATAATTAGAATAATGTAGGATATTAAAATCTATAAAATCTATAATATGTGTAGGATGTGTGTATACTTTTATATGTTAATTTTTGGGTTAAATCGATTTTTTTTAAATATCATAACTATGCCAAAAATCCATTAAATTCAATTTGGAAAACATTTTTATGCTAGTTTTTATATGGCTAACAAATCTGTATACCGAGTTTTTAAATTTATGAAATTCAATTTTTTTGTAAATTTTGACAATTTTAATGATTTTATCATTTATTGCAAAAATCGAAAAAATTGTGAAATTTTATTTATCGACGGGACATGTCTAGATTAATTCAGCTTTAAATTCTGATCAAGAATATATATGATTTATAGGGTCGCAATTGACTCCTTCCCGAGTTCCAAGCTTTTGATTGAAATTATAATACCCTGCAAAAGGCTATAACAACAAAGCAATCTCACATGACCAAGTGCTTCTAAAACTAGTTAGTTCTAAGCCCACTTTTCAGAGATTCTCAACCTGTAACTTACGCCTGAATGTATGCAAAGGTATTATGAAATTTCACTCAAAATAAAATCCAAGTTTGTGTGTTTTGCTCTTAAGGTTTTTTTATTGAATGATGTTTTCTCACACCCTTACTTTATGTTGTTGTTATTATTCTTTTGTTGTTTTTTATTTCTTGTATATTGGTTAAACAGCTTGTTGTTGTTGCTGTCAAAAGTTGTGACTTTTATATTTAGTTACTGAATAATCTAGTTTATACTTATTTTGCCTGTTACTGTTATAAATATACCATTTTTACGTGTATTATTTTCACATTGCACTTCAAACAGTTTTTTTGTAATTAACAACGATATGCAGAAATTGCAACTTGAATAACATATATAAATTAAGAAAACATGCTTTGATAAATATATGTGTTAGTGTTAGTCATTCATACAATATTTAAGTTCATAAATATATGTACTGTGACAATAAAAACTTCGCTCCTGTCTCCGAGCGTCGATGGGGTCTCAGTAAAAAAAGTCGTGAAACTCGGATTAACAAGCACTGAGCCCCTGCACAGTTTTGCAGCTACTGGATGTCCTTTTTCCAGTCCTGAAAGTTCGTGTTTCGTTTTAGTAACAACATTTTGTTCGTCAACAAGTTGTGTCAGTAAGTAAATATGTTTTGTTGTATATAAGTATAAGAGTTGTTTTGGGGGTTCTTTTGGGATCTATTGTATTGTGTTTGTTTATTTTGCGTCATATTCTTTCACTTATACTTATCAATCATAAATATAAATTGTAATAATAATAATAATGATAAAACATCGATTTTCATCATAGATAACTTTTTTGTATAAACATTAAAAAATGTAAGAAAACTTTGTGCGATTTCAATGGTCCAAGCCATTTAACATTTTGGTGTTGTTTGATAGCGACAGGTGTTGTTTGCACTATTTACTTAACGATTTACGACATATTCTCTTTGCTTGTTCACATTGAAATCTTACATAATCATAGTAATAATAATAAAATAGAAATTGCATAACTTCAACAAGTATTGTTTCTTGTGCTTAAAACTAAAGATAAAATTGCTTCTCATCGAACGTAATCCTTTCTATACTCATCGTGTTGTGTTTGTTTATTATTGTTTGTTATTATTATTTTTGTTTGCGTATATTCTGTTTGCAAATATATACTAGAAGAGAATAACATGTTTTCAATTTTTAATCCTTCATCATTTTCTTTCTTTTTTTTTGGTTTTTTCTATGCTTGCTTGCTTAGCTCACGAAACTAAGATAAATATAAACAAAACTGCCAAAATCAAACATTTCAAGCAATCGGCTTCGTAGATAGTTATATGTAGTTGTGTGTCGACAGTGCCGCCTCCGCTGAAATTAGTAGGCGTGGTTGGCCACGAACAGGGATCCGGATCCAGCGCCAGCGGAGCCAGCAACATACTTGCCCACAGAGGCATCACCGTTGGCCTAAGGGAGTAAACAAGAAGAAATGTGATTAATTTCGTTTGGCCAGGAAAATGCAGGAAAATCCTCCTCTTAATTACTAAACACTTGTACTTTATTACTTAGTTATTGCCTGACATGCCGCAGTAGAAAAGTTTTCGGCCAGCTTCAAAGTTGTTGCCCTGATTTTTGCTACGGACACAAAAGTTTTTCCCAGTTTCCCAAGCCACCTGCGGCAATTTCATGGAAACTTTTAACGAATCCAAGCACACGAAATACATCGCAAAAAAACTTTTCCGAAAATTTAATTTTGAAAAGTTCTCTGAGGGGAAAATGCTGATTCGATTAAATGAAATTGCACTGGTAACTGGGAGAAGGGATTTTAGGTAGTTTGTTATAGTTTTCTGGGAAACTTCCCAGCTAAACTGTCAGTCACAAAAGCCTACAGTTTGTGTGGAATAGCTCAAAATTACTTTCTTAAATTACTAAATTAATTCACTTACAAAATAACAACTTAGGAAACGTAATTAACTGAGTAATATTATTTTATTATTATTATTATTATTAAAGAATAATAAAAAATAATAATCTAACTTAACTCCTACGTTTTTAATAAGCTAAACTGTTGCTAAACTACTTATCATAAATGTTATCAAAATAAAAATCAATTGAACAAATATGGTATAAAATTCAACGTATAATTTATTTCGTTTGTCGGTTTTTCCATTTTCAATTGCCAAAAGTTGTAGTCTGAGTTAAAAACTAGTCAGTTAAGTAGTAAAAAAAGTATGGGATAAGGTTTAAGGAATAGTTCTGCAGTTCCTTGGGCTGGCGGAATGTATTTGTGCCGTCAGTCTCTCAGTTCAGCTGGGCCGTCGTCAGGATCAGTTTGCATTAACAGCAGGATATAGCATCGGGCTTGGAATATATAGCTTCACTCGATTCTGATTCGGGATTAGTGCAAGGCTTAGTGCTTAGTACTTGTGCTGGGCGACAAAGAGGCTGGCATTGGCGGCATATGAAGGAATCGAACCGGCCTCATATTTACCCTGGCAGGCCAGAGCATTAGCCTGTGGGAGCGGTAAGGATGGGGATTTTGGTTGGGATTAATCAGGTTTAGGGTATTTTTGATATTCCAATTACAAAAAAAGCGAAGCATTATAAAATGAAGATATGTTTTGACTTGGCAAGGCGGCTACTTGTTAATAAATGTTAATTAGTTACCATATTCAGAGCTTGTTCTTGGCCATTTTGAGGCAGAGAATATGACAACATTATTCAGTAATCGTGATCATCAGTATGCAAGATTTCTTCTCCGGCAGCACCAATAACAGAACCAGCTTTATAAAGACCACAAGTAGCCTCACCATTAGCCTAGGCATGGGGATATGTGAGTTGGGTTTAAATAATATTGATGGGATTATGGATGGTGAAGGAGATTTTTAATAAGCAACATTTGTAAACAGCATGATTATATATAAATTTAAAATGACTGATGTATGATTAATAAGAAATAAAAGGAATTGGAATAATTAAAGTGTTTTGAAAATAAATAAACCAATTTCAATTATTGATCTTATTCACTGATATATAGAAACTGAATTAGGTTTGTGTTAAGGATTAATTTGATTTGATTAATTAAATGTAATGTAATTTAATGTCAAATAATGTTTTTTAATTGTTCAGTTTAGTTAGTTTTATTGTTATATATAGCTTATTAAGAGATTAATGAATTAAAGTTCAAGAGCAAAGGAATTTCGAATAGATTAAACAACGATAATGACATTGATAAGTATTCTGGAAATATAGAAATGGTTAGATATTGGGACTATATTTTGGGAATGGGACTGTGGGTTTGGCGGTTTTATACAGGCGTAATAATTCCTTATACCGATAAGACCTCGCTGAAATTTCTTCCAAGCAAACACCCGGCATTTCCGGCAACACCACTTAATCTACAACCGATCCTATATACATATACTTAAGTTTAATTATCCTTAGACTTACCTTAGCGCGCTTAAGCAGCTCGTTCTGGCCGGCGGCAATGTTCTCCTTCTTGCCACCCCAGGCACGCAGGACGGAAGCCTGCAGGGCGCGGCCGTAGGAGAAGGTGAGGGCCCATGGGCGGCCCAGGGGAACGTTGTTGATGGCGCTCAGGTTGACGGTGGCCTCCTCCTCGGACTGTCCACCAGACAGGAAGGTCACACCTGCAAACATACTTTCATTAGATCGATTCCAATTACAAATATTGTATCATAGCAGGCCAGGTAAAGTTTTTCCTAAACCCAAACCTAATCCGGATCCAGGACTCACCAGTGACAGCGGCGGGCACGGTGCGGCGCAGAGCCTGCACGGTGGCCAGAGCGATCTCCTCGGGGGTGTTCTTCTTGGCCGACTGACCGGCGGTGACCATGTTGGGCTTCAGCAGAGTACCCTCCAGGTAGACATGGTGGTCGCTGAGGGCCTTGTAGACGGCGGCCAGGACGGTCTCGGTGACCTTCTGGGCACGGTCCAGATCGTGATCGCCATCGGGCAGAACCTCGGGCTCCACAATGGGCACGATGCGCTGCGACTGGCAGATGGAGGCGTAACGGGCCAGGACATTGGCGTTCTCCAGGATGGACTGGTAGGAGGGGGTGTTCTTGCCGATCTTCAGCACGCAACGCCACTTGGCGAAGTCGCAGCCGTCCTTCTTGTACTGGGCGCAACGGGCGGCCAGATCATCCAGACCCTGGGTGGTGACCTCATCCTCGGAGCCGAACAGTGGGACAACACCCTTGTCGACCTTGATGCCGGGAATGATGCCCTTCTTCTTCAGGATGTCGACGAAGGGAGTGCCATCATCGGCCTTCTGGTAAAGGGTCTCGTGGAACAGGATCACGCCGGAGATGTTCTCGGCCAGCTTGGGGTCGGTGCTGAACAACAGCTGACGGTAGGCGCGACGGTTGTCATCGGTGTTCTCCACGCCGATGTCCTGCAGACGCTTGCCCATGGTGGACACGGACTCATCGGCGGCGAGGATACCCTTGCCGGGAGCCACGATCTTCTGGGCGATGCCCCTGAGCTCATCCTGCAGCTCCTTGCTGGGGTAGTTGAAGTAGGTGGTCATTTTGAGATTCGAGTGTAGTTCTGCAGCGTGGCCATCCATTTTCCCAAAACATTTCGTTCCAATCGAATTGAGAGTTTATATCGATTAGCAGGTTGTCCATTTTGGAAGAATGAGAAGAATGAAAGAGATGGCAAGTTAGTATTTTGGCTAAGGATTTCGAAAACGTTTTGCAAAATAGTGCGCCATGATTTAGATTGAGAATTTTAAAGCTTTCGAAAGTTATGCCTAGAACAGGTCTAAAATTTAGGTCTATATTCTGTAAAATATACAGATATACTGACAAACTGAAATTAACCAAAGGTCACTTTTGTTTCTAAGAATTTCCGAAGAGATAACTAATTTTGATTGATGACATGAAAAATATATTGGAAATATCTTTATCTACAGCTTTTCTGATAACTGTTTTTATTCTTTTCTTTTTGTAAAAAATTCTTTAAATGGTTCAAAAATACATAACCTTTCTATTTTATCTACATGAGATGGTATCCTAAGTATGAGGTTTATATATTATTGAACTATTATCTTTAGTTTTTTTTTATATTCAAGACATGATTTCATCATCTTTTTCAGTGTCAGGTCAATGTCACTCAAGTCTTCTTAAATTTGATAAATTATTTTTCCCTTGAATATGATGTACATCATTTTGTTTGGTAGTGTTATTTCACAGCTGATTTCATATCAAAGAGCGAGTAATTGAAATAAATTTCAATGCGCATGCACTAAGAACGTGGCCTTTATTTTCCTCTCTTTCTATATACATATATCTATAAAACTTTCTCTCTTTCTCACTCTCACTGTCACTTCCTCTCTTTCCTTGAGTACATACAAATTATAGTACATTTTTTATCAAGTTTTTCCCTCAATTAACACAGAAAATTAATACGTTCCATACGGCGGAATTGTAAATACAAGTTTTTATAAAAATATCACTTAGTTATTGTAATTTTCAGGTACTGCTTATTTTTAATATAATATTATTATATATTTAATCTATTTTCAGTAATAAGAACGATTAATAATTAATCTGTGGATCACTTAAGGAAAAACCAAACCAACCTCGACGATGAATGTTTAGTAACTGAGCAAAGTCACCGTAGAAGCTGGCGAATAATGATTTCCTCTGATGTAATCAAAGTCATGGAATCTTCCCTCTCGCTTCCCTATTGCCTGCTCTCTCTCTCCCACTCGCCCGCACAAAATGCGTGACGTAGTAACTTTCACTTTTAGTGCTGCCTCTGCCTCCGCCCGGCAGAGAAGCCGGCCACAGGGCGCATGAATTTTAGCTTGACATTGAACAAGGTCAGGCAACAATGTGCCTTCGCTTGGCAACAATGTTGCTAGCGCAAAATGTGTTGCTTACGAAATGCGGATAGAAATTGTCGAAAACAACAAAAGCAACACCGCCCAGTCGTGTGGCGCGTGTGTTGAGCGAAGAGGATAGCCAGATACTGTGCGAGAGAGAGAGATCGAAGACCTATCCAGCAATATGTAGATACAGATACGAAATAATATTCGCAGCTAAAAATTCAGACTTGACTTGTTTGACATTGACAGTGAGCCAAGGAAATGGAAAATAATAAATATCAGGCTATAGATTAGAACACATAAAACGTATCACATCAGAATTATAGCTCCACGTCATATTTATGGGATATATATATATATATCACAAGGAAGATAAAAAAATAGTTATTACAGATATACTAGTTGTACTGAAGAAATATACAAAGAGCTATTCGAAATCAAATTATTATACCGATTGGAAATACTATTACTACTCTTTAGTTTGTAAATATATATTTTAGCAAATTTTAACACTATATTGTGCCACATTTTCCTATAAGACACATATATTTCCACACTAATATATCTCTAATTTACTTGACTATACACATATACACATTATTCTATATCTATAAGATGAGTTATATCTTATTCTGAGTCACTTAAGGCGGAATACACACCTATACTTGCCGGCAATCAATCGAAGACTGAAGAGTTTCCAAAAACTAAGGCTAATATATATCATGAATACAAAAAAATAAAAAATAAAATAGAGCAAGAATGAGGAAAAAGGGGGGAACAAGAGCGAGAGAATAAAAAACCCGAAAAGCATAACACAGGCAACGCATGACAACAAAAAACAATCAAAATGAAATTTACTTTGCTATCAAGGAGCATGTATAAAAATAAAACCGACACATGTCTCTCAGTCACAAAATGTGTGTGTGTTCTTGCTATATAGACGAAAAAAAAACAAGCTGATAAAACGAGAAACAGAATATACATAGAAACAATATATTGCTAGAAGTTGCTCCGGAAAGATGAAAAAACAAGTTCGGCAACGGGGCCACCACATTTTGTATCTGCTATCAGTGGAAATTTCAAAAACGAGCCCCCCCATGAGATGTTGGTTCCAAAGGTTTCTTGGCTTTGCATTATCATAACAAGATTTTAGGTCCGGCCTCCTCGAAATCACACAGACAGTGGGTCAAAAGAACATCTACCGAGGGGAGATAAGTCCCATTCCTATTGATGTAATAACTGCCAACTGACGTCAAGTGATTTTTATGATGGTAAACATGAGACGTATACTACTATATACTATACCATATTATTATATATACTATAATATATTCTATATAACATAAAATACTATACTATATACTATTCTGTATAGTAACAGCTGCTGGAGGAGTGAAATTGGGTGCAAGCACGTATGCCATACATTTCTATCTATATGCCCTTCTTAGGTGACCCCAATAACTTTGTTGACTAATCCGTAAACGATGGGTTTTCAGGTTGCTAATAAACAATATTATTGGTAAAAACTTTGATCAAAACAATCACATACTTATAAAGAAGTAAGGTAAATAATTTATGAAGGATTTTTTAATATTTTCTTGGTGAAATCTTTATAAATTTGTATTATATAGTTCCAGAATATTCTTCAACATTCATATGGTAATATTAGAGTTAAAACTACTGGAATTCTATTTTATTTCTCTGATATTAAAACCTAATTAAATATGAATTTTTAAGGCAACTGAATATTATATTAAAATATATATTTTCATATACTTTTCTGAGCTGATACAATTCATGTTGACCTTCAAAAGAAGTCCTTGCCTCTCCAAAAACTTGTTTCCCTATATAACGCACAACAACCCTTGAAACTAGTCTCTCTCTCTCTCTCTTATCACAATTCCCTCTTATTCTCAGTGTGTGTATGTAAACTTATTTCCACTACTTCTCTCATTCATTGAGCGAAAGGTAATTGAAAAGAGCACCGAGTAAAAAGTAAAGTGCAATAGCACATGAAGACATCAACAAACTGTAAAAATCAATGATTAATTCAGCTAATTGAAATCTAAACGAAAGTGTTAAAAGCAAGTCGGCAAAGATACAATTATATATATATTTTCGTATATAAGTAGATTTAACATTTGTGGGAACTATTTATAAAGAAAAACCGCAGCGGCGACTACAAATTGCAGTTGAAACTTTGCCAACAGCCGCCAAAGTGAACTCAATCGCTTAGTGGAGGCGGGACGGCAGGGAAGGCGTGGTCGAGCGGTAGACAGAGAGAGAGAGCCGGTTGAGCCGGTAGAGAAAACTACTTTTGAGAGACTTTGATACCCGATAAGGTTTCCTCTTATCTGCCTGCACTTAGTGCATAGGTCAATAACACATGTTTAAAGTTCTAGAAACCTTTCAAAAATAATACATATATTTAAACACGAAACACACTGGGATATATTTTGGGAGAAAAATAAGAGAATAGAATACACACTCGACACTCTCACGCTTACAGATTATCTGTGCTTCTGTAAATTTCCGTTACGAAACAGCCCAGGAAATTGGGAACGATTACGCCACTTGCTGCACTTTCTGGCTATATTTCCTCGATATTAAGGGATATATCTCAATTGATTGATTTCTTGAATTTTTACTGGAGATTTTTTACTATTTATTTGCTTGTTTTTATCACTTTATCACGCCCACTCCGCTCCACTCACCGAACTGGAAACTGAATCTGGGAGGTGATTAGCTGCTACTGGGCTACTGGCTGCGTCCGCTGCTGCTGCTGCACTGGAGGAGAGAGCGGTAAACGCTTTTATTTTCGGCCCGAGTTGCCGCCGCCTCTGCCACCGTCTCTGCTTCGGTCGACGGCGACTGCGGCGTTAACGTGAAATTCCAAAGCGAAATAAGCGAGACACGGCGACGAGACCCCAAAAGGTTGTTTAGAGGTCGTCGCCGCCGGTGTTGGGCAACCGACTGAGCCACGGCGCTACAAGTTCCCAGATCCCCCAAAACGGAGAGCCAGAGAGTCGGCGAAGCTCTGTCCAAAAATAAGCTTTTCGAAGAGCTTTCAGTGAATTATAATACCAAACTGAAAGATTCAATGATACACTTTAGCTTCAGATACAACTTTGCACTGCTTTAGCTTTCCTTTTGGACGGTTTTATATTTGAAATTTTGGAGGAAATATCATACAGTTTCAAGGTTTTATTTTAGCAGGTATTTATATTTATTATTTTTATGTATTTATAAATATTTATATATGTATATATTTTTATTAATATTATAATATTGTAAAGAAATTAGAAAAATATGCGATTAGCTTTATCAGGAAGATATATTTGACGAAAGAAAAAATGAAGAAAAATATATTACCAAAAATAGATACTTCTTACGGTTCTAAGTTCTAAAATTCATCCAAAAATAAATAAATAAACTAAGTTATAAATATATAATAAGATATTAATATGTAATAATTTATTAATATTTAACAATAAATAAAGCTTCGAAAATCTGAAGATTTGTATAATTTAGCCAGTGAAGGAGTCATTTCCGAACATATAAAGTATATATATTCTTGATCAGCAAAAACAGCCGATTCGATAATGCCATGTCCGTCTTTCCGTCTGTCATTAAATGTATGCCTACCTCTCTCTGAATCTCTAGAGGTAGCTCTGTCTCTCTATTGCTCTCTGCCTATCTATAGACCCTCTAGAGACATCGCTTTCTTTCTGGAGCTCTCACTCTCACTTTCTCTGTTCTGCCTCTTACTCGGGGAGTATAAATAGAGGCACTGCTGCCGCGCTGCCCTCAGTCTCTTCGTGGCCTCCGAGGTGTTTACATCTATGGTGAAAGTGGTAATGATAGTGATATCACCTGACCAATGCACTTCATGTGGATAAACAGGATGAAGCTATCTTCGATAATAACATGAGAAGCCTAAGTGAAGTCACCTGGAATATAACTTTGGACTGGGAGGAATTCAGCAATGCGGTAAGTCTGAACCATGACAATTATATTATATACATATATAAATGCTATCAAGCTTAGGTATACTTATTAATATAATAAAAACTTACATGGGACAGGTTTTTGAATTATAATTAATACATTGTTGGCTTAGTTATGACCGATACACATTCAAACCCATGATCGCAGGGCTACGTACAAGGGTACACAAGCTTCGAAAGATAGCTTTCCAAAGATAGCTTCCTCATGTCTTTCCCAATATTTATTCATTATTGATTACGATATTGATCAAAATATATTTGACTTTTGCAATGATTCACTTTTTACCCTTTTTATACCATCAAGAAAACTTTAAATGTGTGTATTTTATATATATTAAATGTGTTCTTATGTGCTAATTTTTGGGGTAGATCAAAGTTTTTCGAATATCATAACTAAGCCAAAAATGCATTAAATTCAATTCTGAAATCATTTCTGTGCTACTTTTTATATGGCTAACAAATCTATAAATTAGTTTTACATATTAAGGAATTCAATATTTGGCAAATTTTGACAATTTTAACGATGTAACCCCTTATAAAATTTTTAAAATTTGGAAAAAATTTGAAAAATTTATTTTTCAACGGGACACAGCTAGATCGATTCAGCCTTTGATGCTGATCAATAATATATATGATTTATAGGGTCGGAAATGAGCCCTTCACATCGATTTAAGCTTCTGACTAAAATAATAGTACATTTTTGTATACAATATTTAATAATATTTTATATTAAAATTTTCTACTAATCAATGTTTAAAATACACGTAACTAAGCCAAAAATACATTAATAATAATTCGGAAAACATTCCTATGCTAGTTTTTATTAGTTTAATAAATCTGCATACTCATAAAATTAAATGTTTTGTCAAATTTTGACAATCTTATCTTATTTCGAAAAAATTTCAAAATTTTTTTATTCCACCGGACATAGCTATATCGACTCAGCTGTTGATTCTGATCAAGAATATATATTATTTATAGGGTCGGAAATAACTTCTCTACTGGATTTCAAGCTTTTGACTTATTATTGAAAAGGGCGTATGAGTATGAACATATTGACGTCATATTAAACATATTTTCCTCTTATATATTGTAAGAATTTTCCAGTATGTTGTTTATTATAACTAAACAATATTAACTTTACCCCCAAAAGAAAAGCTGACGAAAAATAATTAAATTTGTATATTTTTTTACTAATTACTGGCGACCTGCTTTACTTGGAGCGGTCAATGAATTTTTCGTGTCCATCAGCATCAGGCACCCCTCGAAAGCCGACGATGGGGAAAGAAGGGAGGAAACAGGAGCTAGAATAAGCGACTTTCACGCCATGCCTGACCTCCTGCAATGTTAAAGGACTCAACCCCCGAGCACCCATAACGTACCAAAACAGCTGTTTTAAGGAGAGCAAATTTCCCAGTATTTTCATTTGAATTTTGAATAAGAGAGCGGCAAACTCGGCTAGAGAGATTCTCTTTTCCAAACTTACTTCATTTTGTGAATAAAAAACAGCACTTAGAATTATAGTTTTACTCTTAACTTAAGTAAGGATCTTTATACTTAAGTCTGCATAAATTTATCCAAAGAATATAGTAATTAAATCAAAGAAATTTATAATTCAATTGCTCTTACCTAATGCTTCACCTTCGGCTGGCTGTGCTCTTCGCTGGCCTTGCTCTCTGGGCGCGTTTCGTGGCAGCGTCCTTCGTCCTTGCTTCGGCCCTCGTGCCTGCCTCACTCGCTTTCCCAGTTCCGCTGAAGGATCCTGACTCAGTTTTCAGTTCGAATTCGTGCGTCGGCCGGTCGAGTTGTGTGCCAAACGCTCGGCACCTGTCGCCTCACACGTGTTGCGTTCGTTCCACTTGCGTTGCGCTGCGCGTCTCCATCGCTTCTGGCACTTGCCACATCCACGCCCGCGTACACCGCGGCGTATACGTTACGTTATACACATAGATATATTACGTATTGTCGAAGGCACAGCGGAAGCCAAATCGAAAATAATATTCGATAATAATTATGTGAACCAAGAGAGAGAGAGAGAGAGAGTGTAGTGCTAAGAAATAAAAGATTTCCAGCTTAAGCTGAGTGTTTAAACCTGAGAAAAAAATAAAACAAACCAAAAAGAAAGAGAAGGTGTGTGTGTGGCTTAAAGAATGTTAAACAGTTTGCACAGTTTTGGTAAGAATTTTTGGTGTAATCATTAATATTAAATTTAGAACAGAAAACTTAACAAGTAAATAATATATAAGGGATACAGTAATACCTTTTTATAGTTAAGAAAGCAAAGAAACTTCTTTCAACGGTACAAGCATATTTCCTATTAAAAACTAAAGACTTATAAAGGGATTTTCTTGAGCTTAGATTTAAATAAGAAATTATAATGGCAATGCTACCTAGAGATTTCCGTTTCCGTTTTGGATAAAAGCGCAAAAAAATTCGAAGGATGTTTTGAGGTTCTTCCCCTTAAAGCTTATCCTTAAATATACAGTTTGTGCACAAAAGAGAAATGAAATGTGTGCAACATAGAATGCAAACTAGTTGGTCTGGTTTCGGGTAAAAGTTCAGTCTACGAATATGTGTTTCATATGCAGATTTTTGCTCGCCAGAGTCATAATATTGAGCAATTGATGAGAGAGCGCGTTTAGCTTTGGTTGTGTGGCATTCGCCTCATTAATATGCGGCAGGCGACACAACACCAGAAGCTCAACCCCCTTAGATCCCCAGTCACCAATACCATCTTACCATACCCCTAACACACACACATTTGGGAAAATTCTGGCATGTGTGTGCGTCTGTGTTTTGTCTCGTCCTCATCTGCATTCACCCCGAAATGAGTATGAGTATAAGTATGAGTATGTGAATGAGAATGAGTATGAGGATGGGTATCCTATAACCGACTGAGCAGCATCCTGGCTGCTGATGATGTTGATTCCTGCCTTCCGCAACAATTTGCTTTGAACTTTATTCGCCTCCTCGCCCCTGGAGCAATCCGTAAACCCAAATTGAACCCAAACTCCGGCTCACATTTCTCTTGCAGCTTTTGTTTGTGGCTATTATAAATGCCAAGTTACCTTTTCTTCTGCTCCGTTTTTTTGTTTCGTCCAGGACAAAGTGTTTATGGGTCTGTCGGTCAAGTTGGTCTCTAGCACTTTGTCTAGTTGAATTTTTGCGGTTTTCAGCTGGAATCTCTCATGAAATGTTGCAAATTGTGGTTGCAAACACTTTAAGTGTACGGATTTGCTTAGCTTAGTTGAGAATGATTTACAAGATTTTTTTAAACAATAATTTCTTTTTGGAAAATGTAAAAGAAGTTTGGTAAAACTATCAGGGAAAACCTTGTTTGTCTTGCTGCAACTTTAGCGAAATACCTTAATCAAAGGCTTTACTTAGTGATAACATAGTAAATCTATATATCTATATTTAAACTTACTCAATTAACAATCTTTTCTTTAATTTTCTATACGTTTTTGAACATCTGCTACAGACTCATTCCTTCTCTGATTACTTGTGGCATTCCGTAACATATGTCGATTTATTTCGGGTCAAAATTTGGGCTTCATTTGGTTCTTACGCCTGCAATTGGCCTAACTCAAACATAAATTATGCATACAAAAAATAAAAGAGAGAGGAAAAATAAAACAGAAAACAATAAAAGAAGCTCTGAAAGGGAAAGCGAAGGTCGAGACAAATCAAACAAATGGCAAGAAACATGAAAATGTTGTAAAATAATTTCAATTCATTCGCATGACATTTCGCATGCCTTTGGGCCCTAATGTTGGCCGATTGTCATTGTGTGTGTATGAGTGTGTGTGTGTGCGTTTGTGTGAGTTGGTGCGGTTTATTGCTGCTGCTGCTGCTGCTTTTCCGGTCCTCGACGAAAAAATTCCATAGAAATATTCTGTTTCTGTTCGGTTTCGCTTGTTTACGGCCAAACACAGAGCGCAAGGCAAAAAAAAAAAAAAATTAA